ATTCGCCAAGGTACAGGATAGTTCTAGAAAGCAGAGGGCGTGAGAATAGTCACGTGATCTCGCTGACGCAACAATATATAGATAGATAGATTTCTATGTCATTTTACACGAGAGTTTGTCTTTGAAAAAGTATCCCTTTCTGAGAAGTGTGAAAGGCCACCTGAGTGAATTTGTTTGACTCAGAGCAAAGCCACATTGGGCTATTACTGTGTTCACTGCGAATAATAAAACTTCGAATTCTATCGTTGTAAGTCCGTAAGTTACTGCTGCCCCATCGGAGGATACTTGAATGAATGGTACGGGACGTGATTTCCTTAGCTAATCTTTTGTATAGCAACTTATCAAAAGTTTTTGCCATACATCACAGTTCATTCATATTTCCTTCAAATTCAATGAGTCATGGTTAAGGAACCTGTCATGCAATTTAAAGTAAAAAAAAAGATAAAAGTTCAATAACTGAATATTCACGATGCGTAAAATCGGTCAAACAGCCTTGTTTCGTGAATAACCTGAAATTGTTATATAATTCCAAAGAAAAATAAGATGATATTATTATATCATTAAAATTTTGATTTTAGCAAAATCAGAAAAGGTGATATGTTATTTTGTATGTACTTTTTTTAGATTATGTTGCAATATTTTCTCACTTCATTTACATGTAATACATTTAGAATTTTGTATTTGAAATATATCATATTAATAAAATGTTTTTATCTGATTTTATTGATATAATAAACAAATGAATATTATTTAACATGCTATAAAAATATCCTTCTGGTTTTCCAAAACTGTTTTAACAGCGGATTCATGAACTAAGTACAAGGAAGGAGGTGTTTCATGGTTTCTTATTATAAATTTATATTGAAAACAGCAGAATGTTGATCAAAGAATTGTAAGTATATATCATAACATTTATGAAAGTTTATATATTTGTTATTTTGATAGAAAACATGTAATTGGGAAGTAAATAATTAGCCTTCAGATAGGTGTAATTTAATATTCGCTATTTTAGTACTTACAAGTTACATTCTAATTCTTAGAATAGAACTTTTACTTTTAATTTAAGTTTTAGAAGTTAAAACTCCTTGATGTTATTCAACTTATTACATATAAGTTATTGTGAATAGGATATAAGTATAATTATAATTTATAGCCTAAACTTTAGGTTTAAGCAATACTGTTGCTAAGTTAATATTATTAGTAATAATATTATTGGCATTACATTTAATCTAAAGTTTACTGCTAGTTACTGTGTTAATTTATTTAGTCAATTAGTGTTACAAACTTATAACTAAGTTAAAAACTTCTTCACTTCTCCAATTTCTCATGATGCATCTATGATGGAACTTGAAGCTAACAATTAGTATTTGTGGTATAGCTTACTCAACTCTTTTTTTTTTTTTTACTGTTACTTTAGTTTAAGCAACAGTAACAGTATTAGTTATAATGTTTAATATATCTAGTTATATTTTTATTACGAAGGGGCTAATGATGCCAATAAGACTGGCAATTAAAACCACCATACAGCAACAACAAAAGATTTAAGCTTTTTTCTTCGAAGTAAATATACACAAGAAGAGTGATACAACAACTGCATGACACTGTACACATTGCACATTGTAGTATATATATGTATATATATATATATATATTTAAACTGTGATGAATCGATTAATTCATTTGAGTACTTTTAACCTGCCCTTTTGCAATTATAGTCTTCCCCAGTCTGGCTGTTAAAGACATGAAATCCTTTCCTTTTAAGGTGATCTAGACTAGTTTTAAATTTACAGAAAGAAGAAGAGGCTATCCCAACGTGTATCTGTTGATATTCTTTCCTGCTACTGCTACTAATGTCGTCCATTTTGTGACAAATTACGTGAACTATTGGAGTTAGTCGGGCAGACTAATTTAAACTGTAGATGTCTGTGTCAATGGGTTTTCTGTAGTAGTGACTGCCACCAGTCAGTTGAACTAGTACGTCAGTGGCTTTTATTGCCACCTTCCTGTCTGTGTCAATAGCCATAGCCTTTTTATCATTTTATTATAAAGATTATTATATATCGAGAATATTTGCATTTAGGACTAACCTAGACCTAAGCTAAATAAATCTCATCAGCTATTATTGGGTTTATAGCCAAAAATATCACTATGAGCAAGAGTACTCACTTGATGAAACAAAGCATTCTAATAATTTAAGTGAGAATGTAATAATACCTTATTTAATTAACTATACTAATTACCATGTTCATTTTCTTTTTTGATCTATAGATGAACTAGATAGCTTGCTCTTACCAAAAGGTGATAATATTAATTATTTACCAGTTTAATAGTCAGTGACTTAAAAAAAAAAGCAAAATGTAAGAGTAAAGTATAGAAAAAATTAAAAGAAGCACTGCAAGACATTTCCCTAGAGCCAACTAATTTTGAATGTATTGCTAACAACTAATGAGAATGTGGTTATGAGAGTTGAACTGTGGGAAACGTGATAATTGTACAGTTAGGTTTGATATTTTGCTACATGTTAAGATGAAACTTTAGTTTCGAGTTTTCAGAAAGTTAATTTGGGGCTACGAGACAAGATTTATCAATGAACTGGAATAATGAGTTAAAAGATGATGTAGAACAGGTTTGGGAAATACTTCAAAATAAATTGCTTTTAATTCAAAATATGTATTTTCTTAAAGAAAAGGATAACAGGGAAGATCAAACCTAAGTGGTATAATAAAGAAATCAAGGATAAGTGCCAGAAGTTTAAGATATTTAAGTTGACAAATACAATGGAAAGAGCTATAGAAAAGCTAGGGATTTAGTTAAAGATAGATTATGAAATTGAAAAGGCTCATGAGAAGCAGCTGACAGATAATATTCAAATTAACACCAATAAGTATTTTTAAGTATGTTAAAGGTTAGAAAGTTTTATATCTGTGTATATAAGAACTATGAAGTGGCTGAGCTTTTAAATGTTCTGAGGATTGCATGGTTGCTAATATTACTCCTAATTTTAACCGTCTTTGAGTCTGTTGGGTGATACTGTGTCACCGTGTTTGTTTTGTTCTCACACTTAAAATACATAACTTAATTGCTCAAAATTTGGAACACACTTCTACATAATATGAAGTTTGTGTTTGAAAAAAAGTATATAATTTGGTTTTGTATGTGTGTAGTATTTTAGGTTGTAACTTTTTGTTGTGAAATGCTGTTTTTAAAAAAATATAAAAAAAATACTCTTTTATATTACAGTTGTTGTTTTTTCATTGTATTCCTAAAATCATGTAAATGTATCCAGTAGTTGTTTTTCAATAAAACCAACTTTCGGGTCTGTATTTCTTTAATGACGTACTCATTTTCTCATTTACTCTGTTTGTATAAGCTCTTACAGATAAAGTAACTATTAAAAACTATGCAAGAAAAAAAATTGGATTTTTAAAAAATATTTTGATCTGAAAGTTCCTTTTTATTTGTCCAATTAGATTTAACTTGTTTAATTTTCATCAGTTATTTTTCTTTACATTTTGAAGCAGTTATGTAGCCATGAAAATAACAGAATGCTGGTGAACAGTAAAAGCTTTAACTGGTAGAAACATAATTTACACTCATCCTAAGCCTACACTGACATAGGTAATATTTTTTAAGTTTTGTTCACACTCAGTTTTTTTAATTAGTTTTTTCAATAACTAAGGAATTCTTGGACATGTATATGCTCTTTGTGTAATAATAAATTTACTAATTCATACAATAAAAGCTTTTTTGTCATCTAAATAGTTTGTTGTTGCAGAACTCTTAGCTTACCATATTTAATAACCCCAAATATCCTTAGGTCTTTTCATACAAGAATATTACTGTAGTTTTGAAAAATACAATATAAGAAAAAAAGATTATCACAAATGAAAACTTTTTCAAAAAGTTCAAGAGTTTTATGAACTTTGCATTAAAATTCTTTGTTCTTTAGGAGCCAGGCTTAAAAATATTTCTATTTGCTGTAACCTGACTGACCTTCTGAAATTGGGGCCAATTGAAAGATTTTTTTGACATTATGACCTGGGAAATTTTTATTTTCACCAATTTCTGCAGATATACTGACACATCTAACAAAATTTGCCAACTTGAATAAAATTTTTATCGCAGTATCATGGTTAGAATATTTTTTTCAGAAATCCACGTAGTCTGCAATGATGTGGCAGGGCATCACCTGATTACCAGTCAACAGCTCAATGGTTATTGGCTAATGTAGAGAAGTTTGACAGCATGGCTTATCTTGTTCCTAGGACCCTTTACACTAAATTAATAGATATATATACGTGACCTAGTGAGGGAGAATTTACTATTGAGTATACATTAACAACATGGTGAACACAAGTCTGTTCAGTGTGTCCGTGTCCTAAAAATTTTTGTAATTCTCTTCATAGAATAAATGTTGATAGTAATAGTATTCATGGTTTAACATGCTGTGTTTCAGGTGATGATGGAACTAGTAATATTTCCAAAAAAAATCTTTTGACAAACAATTTAAAAAATAGCCTTTTGTAAATTTTAAATCCATGTAGGGTTACAGCAAACAAAAAATATTTTAAAGCCTAGCCCTAGTATGAGAACTTATTTTGCTAGTCACTTGTTAGAAACCACACAGTATTCCATAACTAAATGTTATGTACATTACAGTGATGCAGATACACATTTAGACAATGGTTCAATCTTATTTGGAGGCTAAGTGGTCCAGCTCATGAACACAAAGCTTTTGAAATAAACATTGAAAGAACAGGAAAGTCACATGAAAAAAAAAATCTTTGTTAATTCCGTGTTTCAGAAATGTCAAGTTCTGGGTAAATATAAATCTATACTTTAGGATGGGCCTGAGAAATTATTTTAAAGAATTTAAAGGGCCTTGTTTATAAGTGATATTTATTGGACCTGTGCAGAGATCAAAGTTCAAATATTTCTTGAAATTTTTCTTTTCAAATTCCACTAACTATATTTCACAAAGTAACAAAATAATAGTTTTTGAAATAGATTTAGAATTACTGTTTTTATTTAAATTGTGATATTTGTTAACCCTTTCGAGATGGGTCATGGGTGAAAGGCCATATCATCTCATTTTTAACTCGCATTCAAAATTTTAATGAACTGCATCAAACTGTAGATTATAATTCAAATTTTAGTACTATATATTACTCAATTTCTTAATTTAAAAATAAATATTAAACACAGATAAACAACAAATTTTTTTTACATGGTATGTTGAATGCAGCACTGGTCCAAATTAGATATTTGTGAAGTCAAAATGCTAAGTATATAGTTTCGTACAAATTAGGAACTCAAATTCCTGATATTGACAAGCTAGAATATAAAATAAGAATGTCTTATCTTTTCCATTTGCTAACATGTTGCTCATGTAATAAATCAAAAACAGTGGCACCCCATCCACCTCTTTTCATTTTTGAAAATGCTCCCTTATATACACTTCTATATATAACATGAATAACCAATCGGAAAGCTCAGAATGTCCCCCTAGTGGCTTTTTCAGCCATTTTAATGGGCTTGGAGGCCATTTCTTTCTTTTGAACCAATATTTCAAGGTGGTAGGGTGTCTTTTGTCTGCTCGAAATTTCATATTTTTTTAGACTAAAATACATCTTTATTATAGTGGAATTCTATGGTATTGATGTAGTAACTTATGATTTTTTAGTTATTCAAAAGTATATATAAAATAAAATAATTATTTTGTTTCATATCCTCCATGAGCAACATTTTTAAAGACTTAGCTACCTCTGTCAAGCAGCAACTGGGTATAAAGGTCATAACTAGAAGAGATAATTGTTTGCTTTACTTCTTTATTTACTGTTCTATGTTTTCAGAAAAATAAGTTTAAGAACTTGCTTCAAAATAGC